ACAGTTGTTTTAGATATACCTTGTAATATAATCAACCTCAGAAGTAGAGGCTCATTTGAAACTGAGGTCTACATTGCTATTTGAAGATAGCAGTTATGGCTGGAAATGTGGCTTAGTAGTAGAGTGCTTGCCTAGCATGAAATCCTAGGTTCAATTCCTTAGTACTGCATACACAGGAAAAGCCAGAAGTGGTGTTATGGCTCAAGTGGTAAGAGTGCTAGCCTTAAGCAAAAGAAGTTCAGGGACAGTGCCAAGGCCCTGAGTTCAAGCCCAAGGGCTGGCAAAAAAAAAAAAAAGCAATTACATTTTTGCTTATCTAGCAGATATATTTATGGCTTTAAAGGATGTATCAGAAATACTGCACTGTTTGATTAGCCTTTTGTGCAGTCTTCTCAAGTAAATCAAAATTCTATACATAATGAAATTTTAGACATTTTGATGTAAAACAAAATAGTCCCTTGTCAAACAAAATAGTCCCTTGTCAAATATAGGGCTTTGGCTTAGTAATTTAACTTGCTCCTGTTGATGTTATATAATCATTGGTGTGCAGTAGGAAATGAATTTTTCAACCAGGAATTTTAAGGCTAAACTAAGAGACTTGGGAATATTAACTACCAGTGTTCATAGTATTTGTCAAACCTTCTTTGACAAATAGCTTATAGGATCTCTGGTGGTTGTATAGTCAGTAGTTCTTTATTTCTGGAATTGGCTTTTTCACTTGCTGGTATGACTGTTAGTAAGAAGAGCAGTGATAGACCTACTTCCTAGGTTGAGATGGTTCTTGGAAGTAGTGGCTGGCATTGCATCTGATCTGTCATGTGACTTAGGGAAAGTCCTGCTCTGACTCAGCACTGAATGAATTAAGTACCTGTGTTGTGTTAGCTTGGGCTACTTACAACGGAAGTAATATTTCAGCATACACCTAGTTACACAGTTCTGGAGGCTGAGAAGTCATAATCAGATTTGGCTGGTTTGGTTCCTGGCAAGGGTCCTCTTCCTGGCTTACAGAGGGCTGTTATTTCTCTTCCTAGAGAGTGAAGAAGGATCAACTCTTATCCTCACTAGAATGGAACCATCCTTATGACCTAAGTCCTCCCTCCCCCCAAAGGACTAGCCCCACAGCATCCATTACACTGGGGATTAGAGCTTCAATGTATTAATGTGGGTGCAGGCACATTGGGTTCACAAGTGCCAACAAAGAAACTGCTCAGTGTTATCACTACCATCATGTCCCACTTTAAGGATTTATTTTTTTTTTGTCCATTGTGGGGTTTGAACTCAAGGCCTGGGTGCTGTCCCTGAGCTCTTTTTGCTCAATGCTAGCGGTTTCATCACTAGAGTGGCTCATGCCTATAATCCTAGCTATTCAGGAGGCCGAGAACTGAGGATCATAGTTTGAAGCCAGCCCTGGCAGAAAAGTCCCCATGAGACTTGGCTTCAATTAACCACTCAAAAAACAAGAGCTGTCTCTCTGTTCGTTTCTAGCTCTTTCTCTGTTCATTTCTAGCTCTCTCTCTCTTGCTCTTCTATACTAGCTCTCTCTCTCTGTTCCTTTCTAGCTCTCTCTGCTCCCTCTCTCTTTCCTCTTTCTCATTCCCAGGCCTTTCCCAGCCACGTGGAGTGCCAACCTTGCCTGGTCCCAGCAGGTCTACTGAATAAACCTACCCCTAACCTGAACACCACGTGAGTGCTGCAGTTCTTACTCCGCTACCTCTTTTTAAAAACCTAACATAAACGGTGCCGTGACTCGGATAAAGGCTTAAAGTCAGGATAGCTGGGATTTCTCTGTTTTTTTCCTCTTTTTTCTTTTTTTGTTCTTCCTTTTTGCTCTGAGGAATACCCACAGTTCTGACGACCTTTTGCGAACCAGTCTGTCTGCAGCAGAATCAGCGCATCGATACCATTGCTGGCCTTCACATCCACGTCCACACCACTTCTCTACTCTGCCCCTCAATGCTCATGTGACTTCTCCAGATTTCATCTAAGGACTCACGCCACCAAGGGACAGCTGCTGCTCACTGCCTTCTCTGGGAGGGACCAAATTCCAGCCTTTTACCCCTATTGTTGACGCCCCTTGCCAGCAGGAAGTAGCCAGAGAGAATCCTCGCCCTATTTCATGATTATTAAAAGGCTGGAGTGTAAGGTCTGCTCCTGGATGGCTAGCAGACTCCACCCTCCTCGCGGCAAAGTCTCCACCCAGTACCTGCGTTACCTAGGCAACTGGGACACCTGGAAGAGGTCACATCTGCATCTGCTGAGGTCACATCTGAATTTGATGTGGCCACACCTTTCCCCGCCTAACCCAGGCGCTCTCTCTGTTTGTTTCTAGCTCTCTCTCTGTTTGTTTCTAGCTCTCTCTCTGTTCGTTTCTAGCTCTCTCTCTGTTCGTTTCTAGCTCTCTCTGTTCGTTTCTAGCTCTCTCTCTGTTCATTTCTAGCTCTCTCTCTGTTCATTTCTAGTTCTCTCTCTTGCTCTTCTATTCTAGCTCTCTCTCTGTTCTTACCTCTCTGTTCGTTTCTAGCTCTCTGCTCTCTCTGTTTATTTCTAGCTCTCGCTCTTGCTCTTCTTTTCTAGCTCTCTCTGCTCTCTCTCTGCTCTAGCTCTTTCCTCTCTCTTTCCCAGCCACGTGGAGTGCCAACCTTGCCTGGTCCCAGCAGGTCTACTGAATAAACCTACCCCTTACCTGAATAAAAAAAAACAAAAAACAAGAGCTGTGGCTCAATGTGATAGAGTGCTTAAACCTTGAGCAAAAATGCTTAGCGACAGCGCAGGCCCTGAGTTCAAACCCCATAACCAACAAAAAACCAAAAGGTTATGCTTTGGAAAAATTAATAACATGTCAGCCAAGTGTACTGTTTCTATATTCCAATGCCTCCGGGGCTGAAGCAAGAGGATTTCAAGTTTGAGACCAGCCTGTTTTACAGAAATGTTGTGTAAGGAAAACAGGTGAAGTGCTTCTATAATAACATGGCTAATTCTAGTTTCTGGGCCACTTTTGCAAAACAATGCAAGGAAGTGCCATTCTGACAGCTTTCCCTCATGTTCTGAGTGAATGTATACGCTGTATTCAAACATTGTTTATCTTTTTTTTTTTTTTTTTTTTTTGAGCATGACCAGGATTTGGACTCAGGACCTGGTTCTTGCTCAGCTGGAATTCTAGTGCTTGAGCCATGCTTCCATTCTGGCTTTTTACTGTTTACTTTGGATATGAGTCTCTGATTTTTCTATCTGGCTGGACCTCAAAATGGCAATCCTCCAGATCTCAGCTTCCTGAATAGCTAGGATTATAAGTATTAGCCACCAGTGCATTGTTCTTTTGAGTTGGGGAGGGGGGGGCAGCACTCACCATTCTCCTTCCTGAGCCTCTTCAGTGCTGGAATTACAGGTATGTGCCATTATACCCAGCACTCCATGGATATAATGAAAATTTTTGTGGTAAGGGATGCTATGGACCCATTATGGACAGCTGGGATTAGACAGTGTTGAACTACTTTTACTAGTAAGTAAGGAGTGTACTTCTAACTTGATCTAATAGGAAATCCACTGGGATTCACTGTTCTGCTCTGAGACCAAGAAGGAAGTTTGCTGTATGCTAGGTTGGGGAACTCTGCCTGTGGCTAAAACCTGCCCTAGATTTCTGCAACTACAAATCAGTCTAGGAGTGATTACAGGCCCCTTCAGGACAAACTAGCTAGCTAATACAAAGTGGTCTCAGCCGACTGAGTAGCTGGGACTACAAGTGTGAGCCAGCAGTGTCTGGCCAGTATTCAATTATATTAAATGCCCACAGTCTGCATAAAGTATGTGTGTGTACATATACATAACTATATCTATCTATCTGTCTGCCTATCTATCTACCTATCTATCTATCTATCCTGGACATCAGACAATGCTTGTAGATTCCAGTACAGGAAACAGATGAAACTAGGAACTACAACATGGTAAGTAGAAAAGGTTAGGTGTAAGATTGAGGGGTACCAAATACAAGAAATAGGCTACCTGCAGAGTGTAGAGCTTAAGTGGCATTTGAGAGATTTCTAGCTTAACAGATTATATTCTTATTCATTGAGATTTTATGTAGAGAATAACGTATGCATGCAGACATACAGGGTCACAGGCATATATTCACAAACACCTTAACTGAAGTAATATGTGCAGGGAGGATTCCAATGGTGTGACTTCTTTGAACAACGTGTTGAAAGGGAAGCTCGAGGGAAGGGGGGGAAGACAAATTGAAAGAGGAAAAGTGAGCAAATAAAGTTATAGTATTCGACGTACCTATGTGAAAATGGAGCCAGTAACTTGGGGATTGGAGGGGTTGGGAGAGATGGAGAGAACAATGAGCAAGATGCATTGTACTCAAACTGTTGAGTTGAAATCCCTTTGTACAACTACTTAAGGATAACAACAAAAAAATGAAAGAGGTGAATATGAGATTGGTTTAGATATGTTAAATTTTCTATGTTTACGGGAAATTTAAGTGGGAAGGTCCAGTCTGCCAAGCAGATCAAATTAGAAAGATTTCAGCCCAGTTAGCAACTACGTGGTAACAGAAGACAGAACCGACTGGTGTTACCCAGGTTGCTGGTGCAAAGTAGGAATCTTGGAGTAAGCCCACAAAAGGAGACTAAGGTGTGGCCAGACAGCAGACAAAGAAAATGGGGTCTGGGAAGGTGGCTCAGTGGTACAGCGCGTGTCTAGCGTGATGAAGCCCTGGGTTCCATTCCTCAGTACCATCTACACAGAAAAAGCTGGAAGTGCACCCCAGACCTCCGAGCCGGTCATCTAGAGAGGCTCCCCACCCCAGGCCCTGGTCCGAAGGCCCGCATTGCCCCGAACTCCAGGCCCCAGGGCCCCGCGGGGCGCCCCGCACACTCCACCCTCAGCCCAGCTGTCCCTACGCCTGCGCACTGCGGGCCACACGGAAGGGGCGGGGCGGGGCGAGCGTGGGCTCCGCCCCCTGGCGGGGCATGTGAGCTGAAGTGCCCCTCTTTACCTCCTTCGCAGGCTGAGCGGGACGCGCGGCGGCGGCTGAGGCGGGCGCGGCAGGATGAATGCAGGCTCCGACCCCGTGGTCATCGTCGCAGCGGCGCGGACCGTCATTGGTGAGTTGTCCTGCTGCTTTTGCCCTAGCCACCTGCCCGCTGCGGACATGGCCTACGTAGGGGAGGGCCGGGTGAGGGGGCCGCCCGAGTCCTCGCGACTCTGGGAGACCCTCGCCGCACGCCTCCGAGCCCGGATGCCACGCCCTCTTCTTGCATAGCCGGTCCGCTCCGCCCCTCGGGCTTGGATTGGCTCGCTGCAGTAGAGCCACCGTGAGGCCTGGATCTCTCATTGGCTGTCGTAGAGAAGCGCCCTCTACCGAGACCTCTAATTGGCTGGTTTGGGGGTGCGCCACCAGTCCTCCTGAGGTGGCCCGCTGGGCCCTGGTGGGCGTGACCAGGGCTCGGCGACCGCGGCCTCCTCGCGGCCTTTGAGGAGCTTGGTGCAAATCCACCCGGCCTGTGTCGCGCCGCCCCGGGCGGGCGCTCGTCCTCCGGCCGCAGATAACCTGGCCTCCCACCGTTCCCTTGTAGGCTCCTTCAATGGCGCCATGTCCACCGTGCCGGCCCACGACCTGGGCGCCACCGTCATCAAGGAAGTCCTGAAAAGGGCCGCGGTGGCTCCGGAGGAGGTGTCCGAGGTCATCTTCGGCCACGTCTTGGCCGCAGGTAACTCCTCGGTGAGCCCGCCGGAGGTCAGGTTCCAGTCACGGCCGCACACGCACGCACACTGGCCGGCGCAGCCCGTGCGCACGCGTCCCCCGGTGGCCCCTGCCAGCCTGCTCCCGGCCTCAGGCTCGCTTGCTGTTGGTTTCGTGCCGGTCCTGCCTGGGGCTTGAACTCGGGGCCGGGCACTGCCCCTGAGCCCCCACACCCTTACTTCTGCCTTTTTGGTGCTCATGGGCGGGCGATAAGAATCTCATGGACTTTGCTACCAGGGCGGTTTTGAACCACGGTCCTCAGACCTCAGCCTCCTGAGTAGCTAGGACGATAGACAGGCATGAGCCACTCCACTGACACCTGACCAAGACTGCAGCTTGAGTCTCCATGTGCAATGTGGGTAGTGAGCCTAACGGGCAGCATCCCGGCATCTTGGTGCTTGTGGGGACTTTCTGAAAACTGTCAGAGGTGAAATCCAGGTCCCTATCCCCACCCCCAGGCCATAGGCTCCTAACTGGAAGCAGATGAACAGGGACTTGGACAATAGGTTCCCAGCCCTGCCAGACCTGTACCCTGGACTAGAGAGAGTCTCTGAACTCCTGAGTTCCCTGTTGCCCCCCGAGCTAACCCTATTTAGGCCCCACCACCTCACCCGCCATTGGCACCATGCCTCAGGTCTCCTGGTCCTCCCCAGGGCACCATGGTGTCCCTCTTCAAGTCTCCATTAGAGTTGATCTGGTTTGTTGAGGTTGTTTTCCTGCTCTTTCTTTCTTTCTCTCTCTCTCTCTTTTTTTTTTTTTTTTGTGAGTCCTGGGGCAGGGATTGAACTGGGCCTGGGCACTGCCCAAGAGCTGCTTTTGCTCAAAGCTAACACTCTACATTTGAGCCACAGTGCCACTTCCCACTTTTTCTGTTTATCTAGTACTGAGGAATCAAACCCAGGGCATCATGCATGCTAGGCAAGCACAGTAGCAAGCACAATAATTATGTGGATGAGTTGAGGTACATAAAGGTATTTATTTGCTCAAGCACTAGGTTATTTCATTACCATCCAGTAGGTGTTGCAATTCACCCATCCAATACAATCCTATTCCAACATCATCCTGTCTGTCTCAGGACTGCTTATCTGCCAGGTCACTTGGTCTTAGAGTCTCAGTCTGGTTGGCTCCAGAATGGCTTCAGCTGCTTGGGTAGTTCCAAGGCGGGCACTTCTTCCTAGATTAGGTGAGTCTCTGACCCTGCACACTTCTGAAGAGTAGTAAGTTGGTTTCAGGCTTGCTCCGTTTTTATGCCATCACATGTGTCTCCTTAATGTCATTCAGGTGTGAGCAGTTAAGCCCTCATGTGGGAAGTGGCACTGTGCTCAAGTGGTAGAGCACTTGCTTGCCTTGAGCTGAAGAGCTGAGGGACAGTGCCCAGGCCCAGAGTTCAAGCCCCACAACCAATCAAAAAAAAACCCAACATGAAGATTGGGCTTTTTTTTTTTTTTTTTTTTTTGCCTGGGAAGGTGGTTCAGTGGTAGAGTGCTTGCCTTCATGCATGAGGACCTGGGTTCAATTCCTCAGCACCACATAAGCAGAAAAAAAAACAAGTGGCGCTGTGGCTCAAGTGGTAGAATGCTAGCCTTGAGCTAAAGAGCTGAGGGACAGCGCCCAGGCCCAGAGTTAAAGCTCCATGACTACAAAAAAAAAAGCCCCCCTGTGGTCTTGTTGCTTCTGGGTTTGTTTACTGTTTTCTAGTTATGTTCCTAACAGGCACTCTGCCACTAAACCATATTCCCAGGACATGCTTTTTCTTTAGTACCCTGTGGCTCAGTTTCCTAACAGTATTAAGTGTATTCCAGGCTGCAGTTGTTCCGGGGAACATGTGTCAGCTAAGAGTTGGCAACTTTCTAATAAAAATTCCCAATTCAACCTTGCAAAATGTAGCTTCTTTGTATCTTGTAATCAGATTCCCATATAACAAATGAACTTCATCTGTTCTTAATATTCAGCCTAATGCCAGACAAATAGCATTGATTAATATAATTTTAAGTTTTGCTCTGTGGCTCATTTTTGTTGTTTTTGTTTTGTTTTGGTTATGTTGGACACCAAACACAGGTCCTTGTACATGCTATGCAAGCATACTACCATTGAGCTACATTCCCTACCCTTGTTTTTTGTTTGTTTTTCTTTTAAGATGAGCCAGGGTCTTGCTTTATAGCTCAGGCTCGCCTGAAACTCTGCCTCCTGAATGCTGGATTAAAAGCAGTCACCACCACTACACTTGATTGGTTAGATTATTTTTCCCCCAACAAACTCTAAGGAAAGATCTGAGATACGGATGTATCTGAAAATTTCAATAGAGCAACTACTAAATAACTAAATTTACTGTTGACCTTTAGTAACAGATTGTGGTGAGAGTATTTGAAATTTTCCATTTAAATATCTTCTGCTTTCAAGAAGTGTTGAATTTCTTCTTAAATTATGGAAAAGCATTTGTCAGTTCTGACTTCATACTTGTTGAATAACCATTTATCCAAGAGATGATGAATGATAAGTACAGAATGATTTCTTTGTGGAGGAGAGACCTTCAAATACCAGGAGACTGGACACTGTATATCCATGGGCAAACTGATAGGTGCCAAGGATATACAGGCCTTTTGGCCTTTAGTGGGAACTGAGCTGCCTGCAGATTTTCAGAAGTGGCAGGTGACCTAGTTGGCATGTGGCATGCCTGTATGTACACTGTATTGTACTTTCCTAGTGATTGCCTTTGTGTTCCTTCTTCCAGGGTGTGGGCAGAATCCTGCCCGGCAAGCCAGTGTGGCTGCAGGGATCCCCTATCCCATTCCAGCGTGGAGCTGCCAAATGGTGTGTGGGTCAGGCCTAAAAGCCGTGTGCCTGGCAGCCCAGTCCATACGGATAGGTGACTCCAGCATTGTGGTGGCCGGAGGCATGGAAAGCATGAGCAAGGTAAGGCTCTCCTGGCCGCCCATGTCCTGTCATGGCTGAGGAAGCTGATGGGTGCCAGAGCTGGAATCAAAATGTACACGTGAATGACACCTACCTAAGGCTGTCTATTCTTCAGATTGCTTAGGAAATCCCAATAGAAGAAAAGCCTACATCAACCAGTGCAATTGGAAGAGAATATATATTTTCTACACTATTGTTACTGAAGCATACAGTATTTTCTGAATTAAACTCAGGATAGTAGTAGATTGATAGCCCTGGTTTTGTTTTGTGTTTTGCGAAAACACTGTACAGAGGGTTACAATTACATGGGCAAGTTAATGAGTACATTTCTTTTTTCTTTTTTCTTTTTTTTTTTTTTTGGGTCCGGTCGTGGGGCCTGAACTCTGGGCCTGAGTGCTGTCCCTCAGCTCTCAGCTCAAGGCTTTTTTTTTTCTCCTGCTGAGGAATCGAACCCAGGGCCTCATGCATGCAAGGCAAGCGCTCTACCACTGAGCCACCTTCCCACCCTAATGAGTACATTTCTTATCAAGCATTGTAGCCTCCTCCTTTCTTTCCCCTTCTCGTCCCTTACATCCTCCCCCCCCACCAAAGTTGTAAAGTTCGTTTTCGACATGACTTGTATGTCTCATTGTTGCAATGAGTCCACCTGTATCCCTATTTAAATGATTTGTTTTTTCATTTCCCCTCCACAAATTATACCGACATCAAATACAGTGAAAGCAGGGGTTATACCGTGGGGGAGGAACATACAAAGCAACAAAGAAGTTATCTTATAAATGTGTTAGAAACAATCGCATGAAAGAAAATTGTTTTGTTTTTTATGTCTTGTTTGGATACATGGCCCAGTCTGGCCCAGAACTCAGTGATCCTCCTTCCTCTTCCTCGCGAGTGCCCCACTTGCAGGAATGTGGCGCCAAGCCTGGCGATATCCTTGATTTTAAGTTTCCTTCCTGTTATGAGGAAAACTGAACAATTGCGGTTTCCACTTTCCTTCCTGTACGTGACAAGGAATACCTCAGGGATCACCTTGGCTGACTTTGTAGGTACAAAACATGGCAAGAGTCAGGTTGTGGTTGGGCATATGTATAGTCCCAGCTTCTCAGGAGGTTGAAACAGAATGATCACTTGAGCCCAGAAGTTTGAGACCAGCTTGAGTAACATTTCTTAAACCTCATCTCAAAAACATAAATAAGGGGCTGGGAAGGTGGCTCAGTGGTAGGGTGCTTGCCTTTCATGCATGAGGCCCTGGGTTTAATTCCTCAGCGTCATATCAGCAGAAAAACCCAGAAGTGGTGGTATATCCTAAGTTGTAGATCACTATCCTTAGTGCTCTCAGCTGAAAAGCTGAGGGACAGCGCCCAGGCCAGAGTTCTGTCCCCAGGACCAAAAACAAAAACAAAACCATAACTAGTGGAGATATGGCTCAAGTTATAAACCTCCAGCCTTGAGTTCCAAAGCCCCAAAAGATTGCAAGGCCGTGAGTTCAAGCGCCATACTGGCACTTAAGCAAAGGGAAAACATGGAAAGGAGGGTTACTGCTTGGAGCCCTCAGGTAGCAATGGGTTTGCCCTGTGGGATTTCTTCCCCCAAGTCCTGTCCCTCAAATCTGCCCAGTGGTGATAATGGTACCCCCACTTCTACCAAGTTTGTTACCTTTTCCTTTCTATTCTAGCACCTTTTTCTGAGTAGTTAACTGGAGATAAGAGTCTCATGGCCTGTCCTGCCTAGGCTGGCTTTGAACTATGATCCTCAGGTCTCAGTCTCCTGAGTAGCTGGGATTACAGACTCCATTTTTACTTCTTCCTCCAGGCTCCTCACCTAGCTCACCTGAGAACAGGAGTCAGGATGGGTGAGATGCCCCTGGCCGATAGCATTCTGCATGATGGTCTTACAGATGCCTTTCACAACTATCATATGGGCATTACAGGTAAGGCAGATATAGTTGCAAGTACACTAGCTTTAGGAAGTTTGCAAGAAGTATATCATGTTAGTGAGTCTTGCTGTCCCAGGTTCTGGGTCTGGCAGTCACTTGATTCTTCCATGGCCAGGAAACTGAGTCATGAAATGGTGTCCAAAAGGTAAGTGCATGGTGCTCAGGCACTTGAAGGTGGTTAGCTAGCTGGTGGCCTGTGTTTGCTCTAGGCCTCACGTGGGAAAATCAGTGTAGAACTTACTGATAAGAATTGGGTAGGGCCATGCGCTGGTGGCTCACACCTGTAATCCTAGCTACTCAGGAGGCTGAGATCTGAGGATGGAGGTTCCAAGCAAGCCTGGGCAGCAAAGTCCATGAGACTCTTATCTCCAATTAACCACCAGAAAACTGGAAGTGACAATGTGGTTCAAGTGGTAGAGTGCTTATCTTGAGCTAAAGTGCCCAGAGACAATGCACAGGCCAGAGTTCAAGCCGCACAACCTACCAGAAAAAAAAAAAAGAGCCAGGCGCTGGTGGCTCACGCCTGTAATCCTAGCTACTCAGGAGGCTGAGATCTGAGGATCTTGGTTCAAAGCTAGCCCGGGCAGGAAAGACTGTGAGACTCCTATCTCCAATAAACCACCAGAAAACCGGAAGTGGCGCTGTAGCTCAAGTGGTAGAGCGCTCACTTTGAGCTGAAGAGCTGAGGGACAGCACTCAGGCCCAGAGTTCAAGCCCCACGACTGACAAAAAAAAAAAAAGAATATGGTGGGTAGACTTTACATTAGACAAGGAGATAGGCTGTACCTTTCAGATGTACCTGACTTGCTCAATCCTCAAATCCTCACAGAATAGCCAGCAGTTCTGTTTTCAATCCCTCTCCAAGAGAGGTGTAAGGAGTTGGGGAGAGGGAAGATTGGGGCAGAAGGATAGGGTGGTGGGTAAATTCACAAATGTAAAATGAGTTTAAGCTGTAGCTATGAATTTATATAAAAAATATTGGGGGTCTGGGAAGGTGGCTCAATGATACAGTGCTTGCCTAGCATGCATGAGGCCCTGGGTTCATTCCTCAGCACCACATAGTTAGAAAAGGCCAGAAGTGCGCTGTGGCTGAAGTGGTAGAGCACTAGCCTTGAGCTCAAGAGCTCAGGGACAGTGCCCAGGCCCAGAGTTCAGGCCCCATGACCGACCAAAAAAATATATATATATTGGTGGTATACACAAACACACATACACACACTTTTCCTTCTGTTCAGAAGAATGTTAAAGCCAAGTCCGAGGTGCAAAAATATAGTTACTGTGTTCACGTTTACATGGAAAGGGAGTGAGAAGAGGAAAAAATGGCCTCCTTAGAAGGACTGCCATGTTTTGGGGTGTGGTGTGTGGACAAGAGGCCCACTCTATATACACATGCACTTCCGTGTATGTATACTAGTGTGTGTACCTTTTATTACTAAAACAGTTCATTGACATGTTGGGCTTTTGCTATTTCCCTGTAGCTGAAAATGTTGCCAAGCAATGGCAGGTGAGTAGAGAAGATCAGGACAAGGTTGCACTGCTGTCCCAGAACAGGACAGAGCATGCACAGAAAGCTGGCCATTTTGACAAAGAGATTGTACCAGTTCTCGTGTCTTCCAGAAAAGGTGAGTGTATAAATCAGAGTTGAAAGTTCAAACGTGTGTGCACGTGTAGTGGGCACTTACAGGAGTCAGATGTGGAGATGCTTCTTGGATGGGTGTGTGCTGTGGGAAAGGCTGTGCTGGGTTTGTGTACCTGGTTAGATGGGGAGTGCAGCCCAGAGGGCCACAGCCCCTGTGCCTTCCCTGCAGGTGTCCTGAGCACCTGCAGCACTGGTCCTGGTTGTTGGGAGGGAGCAGCTAGCTGCCTGTTCCCTTTCAGCAGTGAATGGCCATCCTGTGTGGCTGCTTCTGTGCGCTTTCCCATTCACATCTCTAGAGGAAGGGCCTTCTGGGCTATTGTCTTAATCTAACACAGAATGCAACAGCCCAGATTCCCTACTGCAAACTGCTATCTTACTGGTAGCCTGACTGCTTTAAGACTGCTGCCCCCTGAGTTCCAACCAGCCAGGTGCAGGACACAAAGCACAGCTCCTTGTGCCCAGTGCTCCTAAACTTTCATCTGAAGGAAGAGGGATTTAGGAACAATTCCCCTAAAATGTTTGTGTGTACTTTCCTATTGGGATGAAAGTGAGGGGCTGGGAAAGTGGCTCAGTGGTAGAGCGCTTGCCTTGCAATGGAATGAAAGTGGGTAGATACTAACAGACCTTTTTTTTTTTTGTCGGTCATGGGGCCTCAACTCTGGGCCTGGGCGCTGTCCCTCAGTTCTTCAGCTCAAGGCTGCCGCTCTACCACTTGAGCCACAGCGCCACCTCCAGCATTTTCCTACTTATGTGGTGCTGAGGAATTGAACCCAGGGCCTCATGCATGCGAGGCAAGCACTCTACCACTGAGCCACCTTCCCAGCCCCACTCCCCTTGTCTTTGAAGCCTGCTGACTGCTGGCTCTGTGGTGTTCTTGGTTTTATGCTTCCCAGGCATTACTGAAGTGAAAACAGACGAGTTTCCTCGCCATGGGAGCAACCTTGAAGCCCTGGCCAAGCTGAAGCCATACTTCCTTACAGACGGCACGGGGACCGTCACCGCAGCTAATGCTTCAGGTTTGCTTTCAAAAGGGCATTTGGGGAAGTGCCATCTTCTGCAAGGTCTACCAAGTGCATACCTTTCCCACACAGAATGATGAAAAAAATCTTACAGTTTCTCCATATTTACTGATTTACCTGAATTTTTCTTTTTATTCTTCAGGGTAGGGGTGCTTTGTAGCACAAACTAAGCTTAAGATCACAATCCTTCAGAGTCTTATATACTGGGAATACAGTGTGTCCTACCATGCCTGGTGTTAATTGCCTGACCTTGCAACTAGAGATAAATGAAGAATTCCTGAGTTTAGTGTGGACATGGTAGCACTCACTTGTAATTTCAGATATAGGCCAACTGAGGCAATTAGCAAGGCTTTGTCTGAAAACCAAAAGTACTGGAGGCATTTTTCAAGTGTTAGAGCTCTTGCCCAACATGCCTGGGTTTAGACCCAGTACTTCCTGATATCAGAAATACCCAATATTCCTTAGGAGTTTATTATTCTCATTTCTCTACCTTCCCCCTCTGCTCTGGGGAAAATCAGGTTCTTATGTTCTATGGAGTTATATGGTCAAAAGTATTTGTAAGTACACTGTAATCTGCTGAATTTCAGTGAACAGCTTTCCCAAGATGTCAATGTAACTCATGTCCACTGGTGGAAAATACAGGATCTACAGATAGGTAGCTTAAAAAAATCTTACAAAAATCAGCCGGGCGCTGGTGGCTCACGCCTGTAATCCTAGCTACTCAGGAGGCTGAGATCTGAGGATCGCGGTTCAAAGCCAGCCCGGGCAGGAGAGACCGTGAGACTCCTATCTCCAATAAACCACCAGAAAACCGGAAGTGGCGCTGTAGCTCAAGTGGTAGAGCGCTCGCCTTGAGCTGAAGAGCTGAGGGACAGCGCCCAGGCCCAGAGTTCAAGCCCCACGACCGACCAAAAAAAAAAAAAAATCTTACAAAAATCAAGCAATATTTTACAGGAATCAATGATGGTGCTGCAGCTGTGGTTCTTATGAAGAAGTCAGAAGCTGAAAATCGTGGTCTTAAACCTTTAGCACAGATTGTTTCCTGGTCACAAGCAGGTGTGGACCCTTCTATTATGGGAACCGGACCCATTCCAGCCATAAAGCAAGCTGTGAGTTTAACTTCCTACACCTTGTCATTTGGTCTCTTGATTGAGCTAAGGCCAGACCCCTAATTCTTTACTAATTTCTGTTTAAACTCACCTTTCTACTTCAGATCATCAGGATTGTCCTTGATTGTGTCATTAAAATGCCTCTAACCCTTAAATTAGTTTCATTATACTTTTAGTGATTTTCTACCATGAGGGTCAGCCAAAATTACTTTCCCTATACTGACATTTGAAGTCAGGGCCTGGGCATCTGCAAGTGTTCCCCCACATCCAACCTGCATCACAGTTTTAAGATTGTTTGGCCACATGGTGTAACAGCTCAACCCTGTGCTGGGATTACAGGCATAGAATACCCCACATAGCTTCATAGTGGCACCTTTAAAGAGTGACATTAAAGTGACACTTTCATGTTGTAAATCTTTTGTCAACAGGAATGGTTAATTCCACCCTTCAATACCCAGGGCTCTATCCATTCTTCTTTCCTGCAGGTCTTTAAAGCAGGCTGGTCTCTGGAGGATGTCGATGCATTTGAAATCAATGAAGCCTTTGCAGCTGTCTCTGCTGCCATAGCTAAAGAACTTGGATTATGCCCAGAGAAGGTAATTGCCTGGGTTTGGCCATTGGGTAATGGATGAAGAAATAACTAGTTAAACTCCTAGTATGACAGAGTTCAGTTGGTTTCGCAGGGCAAAAATACTTTGACCCCATTAGTTTATTTACAATGAATGGGGCATTGTGAAATAAAGAACAGGGAAGATGATCAATAGTGTATGTGGGGCATGAATTATGTCAGCAGTGAAAGGGTGGTTTTCTGTTAAAGCAAACTTGGGAATTTAATCTTTGTTCATGAATCCAATGATTTGATCCTTTCCCTCCTCTTCAGGTCAACATTGAGGGAGGGGCTATAGCCTTGGGCCACCCCCTTGGAGCATCTGGCTGTAGGATCCTTGTAACCCTGCTACACACACTGGAGAGAATGGGCAAGAGCCGTGGTGTTGCAGCCCTGTGTATTGGAGGTGGGATGGGAATAGCAATGTGTGTTCAGAGAGGGTGAACCGCTTAACAGTACTCACAACTATACGTGAACCTTGATTTTTTTTCAACGTAAATTGTAATATGTAAAATCTAAGGACCAAAATGAGGAAGGGAACCATTCTACAACTTCAGAAGAATCCAAGTTTACAGATTGTGTGTGTTAATATTTACATCTAACATTGTTATAAATAAAGGGGAGATCAGTCATGAAAGACTCCAGAGTAAACCGCATCCTGATATCCTCCATGTTTATCATCTTTGCTCTCAGGTGTAATTTTATAAGGTCATCAATTCAAAGAATGGTAATTAATTGCAGTGTCTGTGGCAGATTTCAAGTTCTTTACCTTAACAATAGTGGGTTCAAAACCCCTGCTTGTCTGGGCGCCAGTGGCTCATGCCTGTAACCCTAGCTACTCAGGAGGTAAGATCTGAGGCTCACAGTTCACAGTCAGCCCAGGCAGGTTCACAGTCAGCCCAGGCAGGAAGTCTGTGAGACTGTTATCTCCAGTAAACCACTCAGAAAACCAAAAGTGTTTCAGTGGCTCAAGTAGTAGAACGCAAGCCTTGTGCTAAAGGACAGCATTCAGGCTCACAGTTCCAGCCCCATGACCAACAAAACAAAACAAAATTAAAACAAAAATAAAAACTTTGCTTGCTGGGTGCCAGTGGCTCACGCCAGTAATCCTACTACTCAGGAGGCTGAGATCTGAGGATTACAGATCAAAGCCAGCCCGGGCTGAAAAGTCAATGAGACTCTTATGTCCAATAAACCACCAGAAAACCAGAAGTGGCACTGTGGATCAAGTGGTAAAGCACTAGCCTTGAGCTGAAAAAATAAAAACAAAATAAACCTGCTTGTTTGTTGTCTTGGGGTTTCCCATTTACCAAATCCAGGCCAATCCTATAATTAAAGAAAATGGATTTTATAGCTGACAGACTTCTTAACCTGATAATCTATTACTCCCATCCATGCCCTTCAAATCTGCATAAGGAGCAGTGTACCAGGTGTTGCAGAAAAGGGGACATGGCAGTAAAGTTTCCTATTACTTAATGATGATGGTCATGGTTTGTGTCAGTACCTAGATGAGGCTCTCACACTGGCCATTGGCACATTTGTCAGAATGTACTCCCATGAATTTGTGGGTGATTGTGAGAGCTCCCAATTGGATACTCTTGACCTTTTTGTAGTAGTGATGACCCAGAGAAGCGGAGTAGGGAAAGTGTAACCCTCCTAATCATCGGTCATCATGCTTTGGATAAGTTATCTTTTGGACAAGTTAAATAATAAAGGCTTGTTATAATGGTTTAAATATTAATGCTAAATCTATGTTTTAAAATGATGTTGGGCTGGGAAGTTGGCTCAGTGGTAGAGTGCTTGCTTTGCATGCATGAGGCCCTGGGTTCGATTCCTTAGTACCACATAACAAAAAGCTGGAAGTGGCTCTGTGGCCAAGTGGTAGAGCTCTAGCGTTGAGCTGAAGAGCTGAGGGACAGAATCCAGGCCCAGAGTTCAAGCCCTGTGACCAACAACAAAAAAAAAATGTTTTGAGTCAGGTGCTGGTGGCTCATACCTTTGGATTATAAGACCTCAGGATTGTGGTACGCAATTAGTTGGCTGAAAAATATGTGAGACTTATGTCCAATTAAACACACACAAAAACCAGCAAGTGGAACTGTGGATCAAGTGGTATCGCACTAACCTTGAACACAATTTAGGAAGAGGGGTAGGGATGTTTAGTGTTTGCCTCGCATGTATGAAGGCCTGGATTCCATTCCTCAGTACCACATAAACATTTGAAAAAGCCAAAATTGGTACCCCAAAACCCAAAAATTTAGGGATAGAACCAAGACCCAGAGTTCAAACAGGAATGGAAAATAGTTAAATAAATTGCTGTTTTCATGGGACAGTGGTGGAACAGTAGATGTTCAAGACACTGTAACCAGAACTTGACATTGACCTAGAACCACTTTGAACAGGTATGGATTAAAAAGAAATGGTCACAGAACTAAATTGTTATATATGATTAGTAGATGAAAATGAAAAAGACCTGGAAATCAAATACTTACTATTTTAGGTTTTTGCGTTCTGGGTTAACTTGAACCTCATTATGAAATGCTCTTTGCAACCAGGTCTGTGGAGTCTTGAGCAGCGTTAACTGCCAGAGTATTAGGAATAACAAGGAGAGATCTTGCAAATTCAGCAATTGCAAGCTGTTCCCGAGACCCCTAAGAAACACAAAAGGCACTTGAAGCCCACTGCAGCAGCTAAGGTCTCCAGGTAGTAGTAAAACAGGAACTGACCTGCCATACTCTTGAAAACAAACGGCTCTTACCATGCTGGTTGCATAGTTTTCAAGGTAAATGGAAAGGGCTGCTTCTACGGCCCCACCACCTGGGACCACCGACTTGGACTCCAAAACTCTCTTCACCACACACAGAGCATCATGTAGGGAGCACTCCATCTCATCACACATGAAATCATTTGCCCCACGCAAGATAATTGACGCAGATGTACGAGCCTTTGTAATTAAAAACAAAATGGGAAATTCCTAGTATTTCCACTGCATGTGCCTGGATTAAATTCTGCCTGTGTATGACATTTGCCTATTCAGCAGTACAAACAATGTCTAGACCATGCAAAAAGATGAAATGCATTTCACCTCAATTTACCATGTCTCAATATTACTTTATCCCATGCTTACAGCTGCTCATATCACCAAGGGATTACAGCAGCAAATAAGTGGGAAATTCACTAAGTGTGCATAGTTTCAGAACTTAGAAAGTTGCTTACTTTTTGATTAAGATGAGTTCATCATCACAAATTCTTTCTTGTACCACCTCTTCTGCTTCTTCTGTTCGTCCCAACATTGTAGCTTCAAAAGTTTCTTCACAGATGGGAATATAGCTTAGTGGTAGAATGCTTGAATAGCATGCATGAAGTCCTGGGTATGATTCTGTAGTACCTCATAAACAGAAAAGTCTAGAAGTAGTGTTATGGCTGGAGCAGAGGAGTGCTAGCCTTGAATGAAAGAAAGCTCACGGACAGTGCCCAGGCTCTAAGTTCAGCCCCAGGACTGGCCAAAAAAATTTTTTTCACCTTCCAAATTGGCCAGGGTTGATAAAACACTTGCTGTGAAAGATAATGAAAGGTTTTTCTCTTTCTTTCTTTTTTTTCTTTCTTTTTTTTTTTTTTTTTGTTAGTCATGGGGCTGTTCATCAGCTTTTTTTTTTTTATTTTAATTTTTACTTTTTTATTTTTTTTGTCGGTAGTGGGGCTTGAACTCTGGGCCAGGGCACTGTCCCTCAGCTCTTCAGCTCAAGGCAAGTGCTCTACTGCTTGAGCCACAGCGCCACTTCCAGTTTTCTAGTGGTTTATTGGAGATAAGAGTCTCACAGGCTTTTCTGCCCGGGCAGACATGAGCCACCAGCGCCTGGCTGTTCATGAGCTTTTTCACTCAAGGCTAGTGCTCTACTACTTTGAGGCACAGCACCACTTCGGGTTTTCTGGTGGTTAACTGAAGCTCACTTTCCTGCCCAGGGTCGCTCTAAATGTGATCCTCTATAAAATCTTCTATAAAAATGCTATCTCAACCTCCTGAATATCTAGGATTAGAGGCTTCAGCCACCAACACTCAGCATCGCTTTAGAATCTTCAAGATTCAGACTTTTATCATAAAAGTGGCTTATATTATCATTAAGCATCAGACAAGCAAATGTCTTCCTACATTAAGACAGAACAATGACATTTTTGAAGTGAATAAAAGTAAAATAAACTCAGTGAGTTAAAGACCCAGGATTTCTAGGTATATGGCAATGGCTCTGAATGTACTGCTGCACAAAGCATTAAGTGAAATTGTTTTGAAAAGCTGTATAGTCAGTATTTCAATGTAAAGCGGTTTCGATATGGTCACATACATTGGGGTGAGATATTTTATGAGAGTCAGTAGAAGACCTACACCCAGAAGCCTCAGCAACATGTTTAAGGTCTCTCTTTAAAATTCTCTGGACTGGGTCTGGGAAGGTGGCTCAAGAGTAGAGTGCTTACCTTGCATGCTGGGTTCGATTCCTTAGCCCCACATAAGCAGAAAAAGGGGGAAGTGGTGCTATGGCTCAAGTGGTTGAACACTAGCTTTGAGCTGAAGAGCTGAGGGACAGTGCCCAGGCCCAGATTTCAGGCCAACAACAACAACAACAAACTCTCCGGACTGCCTTAAAACCAGCTTCCATAAAATACTTGAGGCACATGTCATCAATCCCTCCAGCAGTGAGAACAACATTAGCGACAGCCACCAGGATCTTCTGAATCCTCTCCTTGGTGATATCTGACTCCCTAAAGAGAAAGTATTTTCCTTCAGAAATCTAGATTATTGGTAATGTAACAGTGACATCGTTTTCAAAAAAAATTATGTTAAATTAACTGGGGTTTTCTCCTCATCTATAACTAGAATTTAAAGTCACTCCAATTTATAGAAAAACTCAAAAAAACTATGCTATGTCAATTCCAGTTTGATTTCCTAATCAAGCAATGTAGTCAGAACTCTACTGTTTTTAAGTAAGAGCCTGAGGCAGAATTGAGTGTTTCGAGCCAGTCCAGGTCATGACGTTCACAGAGAGATGGAGACAAGATTACTAATGGGTACACAGGGCAGGTCGTCAAGAGAAACAACTGTCATGGGGCTGGGAAGGTGGCTCAGTGGTAGAGCGCTTGCCTTGCATGCATGAGGCCCTGGGTTCGATTCCCCAGCACCACATAAGCAAAAAGAAAAAAAGCCGGAAGTGGTGCTGTGGCTCAAGTGGTAGAGCACTAGCCTTGAGCTGAAGAGCTGAGGGACAGCGCCCAGGCCCAGAGTTCAGGCCCCATGAACGAACCCTCCCCCCCCAAAAAAAGAGAAACAACTTTCAATATGCCTCAGCACAGGAGGGTACATAATCATAGTTGCTGACAATTAAGTACTTTGAAGTTCCTAACAAAGAAATCATAAATCTGAGATCATAGATATGCCAGACACCCTGATACATCATTAAGCATTGTATACAAATAGTGCAACACATCACAAATGCTCCACAGCATTTAGTTACCACATGTCAATTGACATAAAAGTAACCCAAGTTGGACTGGGAAGGTGGCTTAGTGGTAGAGTGCTTGCCTTGCATGCATGAGGCCCTGGGTTCGATTCCTCAGCACCACATAAGCAAAAAGAAAAAAGCCGGAAGTGGCGCTGTGGCTCAAGTGGTAGAGTGCTAGCCTTGAGCTGAAGAGCTGAGGGACAGTGCCCAGGTCCAGAGTTCAGGCCCCACTACTGGACCCAAAAAAAAAAAGAAAAAAAAAAGTAACCCAAGTTATCTGAATGATGCAGGTCACATGGAATTAGGCAGACAAAATCTCCACAACTGTCTACTGCAATGTACAGGTTGAATCCTATCACTTGCAGCCTTAGTGTCAATCATACTAAGTTAACACTCAACTGTCAGGTTTTAACTGCTTCTTTGATGAAATACGATTCTAGACTTTGACTTCTAGATCTTTAACCATACCATGAAACACACAGAGATCAATTTTCATGTATCACCTTCAATCCTATTGAAACCTCTGAGCTTCACTTGGATAAGATGTGAAAATCCTTCAAAACACACACTTCAAACTCCCAACTGTAATAAAAAATAATATATTTTTACTAATAAGCCACTTGTTTGGTTATCTCTAAGACTCATTTTTTTTGGGGGGGGTCCGGTCATGGGGCCTGAACTCTGGGCCTAAGCAATGTCCCTCAGCTCTTCAGCTCAAGGCTAGCGCTCTACCACTTGAGCCACAGTGCTACTTCCCAAGACTCATTCTTTTTAGCACATTCAATCTGTTGTGACACAAGAATAAGTCACAAACAGCTCCTTTCAAAGGCCAAAAATTTCCCACCATACCTGTCTAATTTGGTCCAATTTCTCAGGGTCTGTGATAACCACTTGTACACCAGGTTTCATTTTTGTTTTCTGCAGGCTGAAGTCAAGGCAAGCAATTTTTGCATTAACTATCCTCTCGGGCATGCCTGTAAGCAAACATAATGTAAGGTAACTATAATAATGCTATGGTCCATGAAATGCAGCTACTTTTAGATCAAAATAGAACAGAACAAAAATGCAACATTACATACAAATACAATTTAACTTGTAATTCATTACATTAAACCTTAAGGCACTAAGGACATGCAACCTCCTATTTTCTGTGCTTATGTTAGAGAAGATATTACTGTACACAAACCACAACAAAAGCACTTTTATACTGTAGTAATTTAATTCAAGACCTTACCCTGGGATCCCACCACACAGTTGAGTGCATAGCCATTGACTAGCATGCTTTCTGTTTGACTTCTCCCGTGAGCTTTCAGAATATTAACAGACGTGACTGGATAGCGTGGCTGGCCTCTTGAGTCTGTGTACTTAATGGCAAGCACGGCATCCACTACCATGTTGGAGAAGAAATCACCGTTTCTTGTGAATAGTTAAGGATAAGGAGACTCTCAGTGAAGGAAGGGTACACATTTAACACCCAAAGCAATTCTAGCCCTATTTGCTCCATAGTTCTGGGCTGGCCTTGAACTCTCCATCTTCCTACCTTTGCCTTTTGTTGTGGTATAAAAGTTAAAGATAGAATATTTGATTTAGGTCCTTAGGCCATGCAAAAATTAAAAGCCTGTGCTTATCAATGATGGATGATTTTGTAACTTTATTTTTGTGGTTATAAAATTTAAATTGTAAATCCACTTCTATCACTCCCATCTTTAGTTCTATTCCCCATGTTTCCCGTCAACAGTCCTAGGCAGAGGGCCCTGGCAGAAATTGTAATAATCTCTGGAGTAAACATTGGCCAGAATGGACAAAGCCCAACTGAGCAAGCTTAAGCTCTCCCCCTTCCCCCTTCAGGTCAAAAATGCTTAAAAGCTGACATAGGCTGGCACTCAAGGCCGAACCCTGAGCTCTGACCTTGGGCACGGCCCTGATGCGTCAGAGCTTTGTTCTTCCGCTCAAATAAAAGTTTGTTTAAACCTCAACTCATCAGTGGTTTGGGGTCCTGGTGTCTACTGATGCCTGGGCACTGGAGGCCTTTCAAGTACCAGCATGTCACCAAGCTGGTTACAAAGAATTACCTGTTACCCAACCTGCTATGGTGTTATTTGCTACCACCGTCTTTGTTCAACGTTTACCGAGATCAGTGGGCTGAGCAAACAGTTCTGATAGAGAAATCTCCAAGTTAAAAGAAAACACCGAACTTTGAAACAAGTGCGGATAAAGATGGGGGCGTGGGGAGGCTGTGCAGCCAAAGGCTCGCGGTTCGGCCTACACCCCGAGATCTGTGTCTTTTGTGGGTGGGCCTGCACCCCGAGATCTGTGTCCTTTGTGGATGGGCCTGCACCCCGAGATCTGTGTCCTTTGCGGGTGGGCCTGCACCCCAGACCTCCGAGCTGGTCATCTAAATAGTCTCCCCACCCCGCACTCGTACCCCAGGCCCTGGTCCCAAGGCCGCAGCGCCCAGAACCCCAGGCCCCAGGGCTCGGCGGGGCGCCCCGCCCACTTCACCCCCAGCCCAGCCGTCCCTGCGCCTGCACAGTGGGGCTGAAAGTGAGCCGCCGCGGGGCGGGGCGAGCGTGGGCTCCGCCCCCTGGCGGGGCCGTGCCCGGCGGTGCCCGGTTTTATCTCGCCCGCCGACTGAGCTAGGCACACTTGGAGTCGAAGGCGGCGCGGCAGGATGAATGCAG